TTTAACAAGTTTTGTTGGAGTACCATTCGAAAAAAACAAATCTGCTGGACGCACCCCATGTAAATTGTAAATTGTAGTTTGAAATTTGTTTACCCACGAAGCACTCAGGAGTTGAACTCGTTTAAACGTGTCTGTGCGTTCCAGATCGGATTGGAATTTGGAAGTGTTGGTTTTTGAGGAGAGAGAAAAACCGGAGAACACGGTGAAAAACCTCTCGGGACAAGGGAGGGAACCAACAACAAACTCAACCCACATATGGCGTCTACGCCGGGATTTGAACCCGGGCCACATTGGTGGGAGACGAGTGCTCCCATCACTACGAAACCCTTGCTCCCCCTCACACCATATACACATGTAGATCTGGAGTGCACGTATAAAAACTATATAAATGTACCACTTGAGTAAAACAGAAGAACGGAAAAGTCGAATTATTGATCCCATGGAATCCGGATTACTACTAAGTGATTTCTAGTTCGGCCATTTTTGTCAAATCAACAGCCATCGCCATAACGCAGTTAAACAGAGCCAACGTAGTTACAAATCAAATATTATGACCAAGACAACAAATGATGCCACACATACAATCATCGACGGGAAACCATATAACTGGCGTGTTGAAAAATTGTTTGGTTGCGCCGGTAACGAACACTTCCATCATCGGGTCGAATATTTATAATATATCTTAGTCTGAAATNGTGCTCTGCCCATGTCAAAAGCTGCCACCCAAAAAAACCCCGGGGGGAAAACAAAAACGTGGGGGGTTGAAAAATGTTTTGGTTTGGCGGGTAACAAACCCTTCCACCACCGGGTGGAAAATTTTTAAAATTTTTTTGTCTGAAAGGCCCCCTTTCTCTTCACCCCCCCCCCCCCCCCCCCCCCCCCCCCGACAGGCGCCGGTTGAGGGTTGGGGGAAGAGACGGTTGACATTTCAGACTTCAATAAATCTATCCAGCACAAGAAAAATAACCGTCTTCACTTACAGTGAGGAGTTCGGATAAGAGAAATGCAAATGCAAGTGGTAAAAGGCCATTGATTATGGCGGCAAAACTTCCAAAGAAAATGTAAAGCCATTCCGGAGTGTTCAACTTCAAGATGCGCATAACTGGAGCAGGTTCCACTTCTTCTTCTAAAATCTTTTCTTCGCCACCTTTGTCTTTCTTATCCTAAGGCAAAGACCCCAAATAATAATTATTTATGTCATAGAAGCCCTTTTATCTGTATGTCAAGATATTTCGCATGGAGTGCCTTATAGGTTGCATTCCTTTTAGCCAATCTAAATGCGGATTTTTCGATCGAAAATTCGATTTCTTGTTCCATTAAGGACCAAACCAATCTAAGATTGCAATCCGAAGGATCTACCTCTGAACGTGGATCGTTCAGATTGTTATCTCAATCTGGTTTCAGATGTTTGTTCCATTTAATGAAACTGCTTTTCGATCGCAAAAACGTGCTCGTTCATGAGTAAACACGGCGGGTCAAGGTTAGTTGAGGCAAAAGTTATTTATATTTCCCCGTTGTTCTATGCTGCTAAAGGATTGTAGTATATTTAACTCAAGTTCCACTGTCACTCTAAATCCGTAAGGAAGAGAAAACGCTTAGATTTTCTCATTGTAAAACTATACTGTACAATGTCTGTTTGTGTTTAGAACGCGCTTCTCAGCGCTTGAGAACTTGTAATTGTCTTCTGAATTTTCTTGAATCAAATTCCAGATAATTTTAAGTTGATGAGTTCCAGTATGAACCACCACTAGTTAAAGAGCTAACTTTCTTTCCGTGTCTCCACGAGATGCTTAATTTAGCAGAAAAAAGTAAATAACGGTGCGTTGAAATTGAGAAGAAGATCGGAACGACAGCCAGCTGCTGTATGGATCAATCTTATTTCAGATTTTTGTTCCGGTTAGCACGAAAATCCAAACAATCTGGATTGTCCATATCCGAAAAAAGTTGGCAAAAAGGAATGTAACCATTAGCCGCTAAAGACAGGATAGAGTGTCTTTCCAGGCCACGCGAAGGTCGAGGCAATTCTCGGAAAGCAAAATTAGCAAGCGTCAGTAGGTAGCGGTTTGTTTGGCAAGAGGCACAAAAAAACGCTGGGAAAACGCTTCGCACCTGAAGACTCGGGAAATTATTGGAATTTGAACAAAATGCGCGTGAAATTATTCCCTTATGTCCCTCGTCACCATTTGATTCATACATGTATACTTAATCATACGTAGGTTATACATGCTCGTCCGGGTTAACGTAGTCCTGAATAGGCCTGTTGTTGCCAGTGACTGACGTTTCGGCAACTTGTGCGGTAGTCTTCTTCAGAGTCAAAGTGAGTTGTATCACGTCAGCTAATGGTATTAAAAACAATTGACCTGATTGGCTAATAAAGTCCTGATGTCATTTGTCGTCTGTCAGTTATTGGCTATGAAGACTAGTTATGTCACTGGTGCGTTTCGATCGATCCGTCTATTGGCACAGTCAAACAGTCGTTTATTGTTAGTCAAATTGTCGG